GTAGAGCGCTAGCCTTGAGCTAAAGAGCTGAGGGACAGTGCCCAGCCCCAGAGTTCAGGCCCCAAGACCAGACCGCCCCCCCCCAAAAAAAAGAAAGGAAAAAAAAAAGAAAGTGTGAGGCCCTGAGTTAAAATTCCAGTATCACATAAATAAATAATAGCATTTAAAATCAGCAAGATAGAAAGCTAAAGCCACATGTTAAGTTATTTACAATGGTCATATTACATGTTTTTTGTTCCTATTTTTCCCAATTTACCTATAGTTAGATGAATTACTTTGAAAAAGTAATCTATAGAGGGGTCACAGTTATATAAGTCAGGTAAAGGGTGAATTTCTTTTTGGACAATGTTACTCCTTCCCTGGCTCTCTCCTGGTTTTACTCTCCTGTCCCCACCCACAAATTGTTCAACAGTGTCCAGTGAGTATGAATTACCTTTTTGTTGTTGTTAGTTGGGGGCTTAAACTCAGGACTAGTGCTGTCCCTGAACTCTTTTGTTCAATGCTAGTGCTCTACCACTTGGGGCCACAGCTCCACTTCCAGTTTTTGGGTGGTTAATTGGAGATAAGAGTCTCATGGAGACTTTTCTGCCCAGACTGGTTTTGAAATGTGATCCTCAGATCTCAGCCTCCTGAGTAACTAGGATTACACAAGCCACCAGTGCCTGGCCATGAATTACTTTTGGAAGCCATAAAGGCATAAAAATATTGTATTATACTTAGAAAGCATTACTCGGTTACTATGGTTCATAGTGAGACTATAGCAAGTGATATAACTATGAAACAAGTATTAATGCTTCTTTCCTCATTTTGAAAAATAGATTTACCAGAAATTTCCAGGATGTTTGAAGACCCTCATGGATGCCATGAAAAAAGACAAAATAGTCTTCCCTAATGATGAGAAGTAAGCTATGAAAAGCTCAAAGCTCTCATTATTATTTCATCTATAGCTACTAAAAACTATCATGCTACTTATGAGGTGGTAAATCTGTCTCTCCTGTCTCTGTCTCTACCTTTGTCTCTTTCTATACATACATACATACATATACATATTGCTGGGAATGGAACTAGGGCTCTGAGCTTGTCTAGCATTCAAGCTACACCCTCATTCTATTTTTTTCCTGTACTTGAGTTTGAACTCAGAGTCTTGCACTTGCTAGTCAGGAGCTCTACAGCTGAGTGACACACTCTAGTGTCTTCACCAATTCAGTATTCTCTGCAATCATAAAGTACATAAAAGCATGTACCATCACACTCAGCTTTTTATTGGTTGAGAAAGGATCTTGCAACCATATAGCTGGGATTGTAGGTGGAAACCAAATGCCTAGCTTTGCATAGTTTCTACATGAAATTTAGAAGAAAGAAAGAGATTTCTTGTTGTTTGGACAAACGTCATGTTTTGCTAAAGCGATAATTCAGAAAAGAGAGCTCTGGGTAGACAATTCTTTTTATTATTATTGTAAAGATAATGCACTGAGGGGTTACAATTATGTAAGTCAGGTAAAGAGTCCATTTCTTCTTGGACAATGTCACCCCTTCCCTTCCTCTCTCCCAGTTTTCCCCTCCCCTCCCCACCCACAAGTGTATAGTTCATTTTCAACATAGTATCCAGTGATTGCCACTGCTGCAATTGTTAACCTTTTATTCCTCCATTTGGATATTCAGTTCTTAAATGGAGTGCTTTTCTCTCATTTGTTCCTAGTGTGAAATGCCTGTCTTCTCCCCTTCTCATCTTACATGGAGAAGACGACAGGACAGTGCCCTTGGAGTATGGAAAGCAGGTAAACTAACAGCTCTCATTCCACAAAAACATTATACTTACTGCCCAGTTCTTTAAGCGGATCTTTGATTCAAATTTGAAGGAAGATCTCTGGTCCTACAGGAATTCCTTGCTTCCTAAATAGCCATGTTGTTTGGGTTATACAATCTCACTCTTGGCTACTTAATTCTAAGGAGTGTTTGTGGGTGGAGCCTGGCCCCTTACCTTGGGTCTGAGCATCTCCAAGGGAAAAGATGCCAGGCCTTGGTGGAAATCTCCATGCTGCTGGAGCAGCTCTACAGAAGGGAGTGTTCTGCTTTCTTTTTGTTTTTGTCTAGTCCTGGGTCTTGAACTCAGAGTCTGGGCACTGTACCTGAGCTTTTATGCTCAAGGCTAGCTCCACCTATTTATGGTTAATTGGAGATAACAGTTTCATGGACATTTTTGTCTAGGTTGGCTTCAAACTGCAATCCTTAGATCTCAGCCTCCTGAGTAGCTAGGTTAGATATGAGCCTCCAAGGCCCAGCATTTTCTTTTCTTTTCTTTTTTTTTTGGGTCCGGTCGTGGGGCCTGAACTCTGGGCCTGGGCACTGTCCCTCAGCTCTTCAGCTCAAGGCTAGCG